TTTCCCCATCCTGGCCAAATCTGCTGGCTTCTACCAGTGCAGCCCAGTGGCACTAGGCATTAGCTCTGAACCAGGCACATGTGTTATTAGCTCATCTGGCCCTTACGGCACACTTCAGGGGGCTGTTATTCTCCCATTTTATACATGGGAAAATGAGGCCCAGTGAGATTCAATTACTGCTCAAGGCACCCCGAAGCTGATCCTATTAATTTACCTGCTTTCTTACCATCATTTTCCACGACCCTGAGACCTAGAGCTAGGAAATGGTCTCCAACTCTAGTGGGAGTGTGGGGGGCATCCAGCCCCACACCCCCTCGGGCCTTACCCCACCACCTCACCAGACCCATGACCTTTATGCACCCACCCATCCATCTACCCCATCACCCTCTCTTCTCTACCCACCTCTGCTAGTGGTCCTCTCTTCTCGGTAAGTCCTGAACGCCCTGGTACCTGATGGGTTCTGTTGCTAACTCTGCCCACTGCTTCAGGCCTCAGTTTCCTTTCCTCCACCATGGGGATCATGAACCCTACCTCCAGGGTGTCCATGAGGATTTGACCAAAAAATATTCTCTCCCTTCCCTCTCCTTCCCTTTTTCTTTCCCCCTCCTCAATAGCTCAGGCAGGGCATCCTGTGCAGGTGAGCTACCAGCTTCTTGAGGAAAGAGGTGTCCAATCCAGTTCTTCCCCTTATCAACCCAGTCCCAGTTATCAAAGGCAGATCTCGCTTTGCTTTTTAAGCATCTGCTGTACTTGAGCTGGTCTCTGTTGACATCACAACCCCCTCGGTTCACTCTGCAAACAGAGAAGCCCTTTACAACCTCAGTCTCTGATGACCTCCAGAGGACAGGAGGAGTCTAGCTGGACAGGTTGGGGCTAGTCAGGGAGGTGTGCCCAGAATGTGTTAAACTACAATCAGGGCACAGTCAATTTCTAGGACTGAGGACACACCTGCATTCAGATGTCAGTGATGAGTTACATCCCAAAGCCAAATAGAAACGATGTGGGGATTGGCTACTGTTCCTGGTGATTCACGTCTTTAAATAAGAGTTGAATCGATTCACACGTGTGACTGCAAGTAATTCGTTAAAAATTACTTAAAAATAGTGAAATAGAAAGAGGCACAAAGAATAACAACACCCAGGTAGCTGCCTTCCAGCTTCAGACAGAAAATATTCTGACAACTAAATTAAATGTATGAGGTCCTTGCTTGGATTTTGGCTGGGGGAAAATAAAGCTACCAAGCTTGTTCTTGGGACCATTGGGAGAAATTTGATTATGCAACATATCTAGATAATAATATTGTATCGGCTGGGCACGGTGGCTCACGCCTGTAATCCCAGCACTTTGGGAGGCTGAGGCGGGTGGATCATCTCAGGTTAGGAGTTCAAGAACAGCCTGCCCAACATGGTGAAACTCCATCTCTACTAAAAATACAAAAATTAGCCGGGCATGTTGGTGCACACCTGTAATCCCAGCTACTTCGGAGGCTGAGGCAGGAGAATCACTTGAACCCAGGAGGTGGAGTTTGCAGTGAGCTGAGATGGCACCACTGCACTCCAGCCTGGGCGACAGAGCAAGACTCTGTCTCGAAAAAATAAAATAATAATAATAATATTGTATCAATGTGAAATTTCCTGAGTGTGACCATGAGACTGTGGATAGGTAGAAGAATGTCCTTGTTCTTAGGAGATGCTAGCTACATATTTAAGGTGTCAAGATGACTGTAATTTATTGTCAAATGGTTCAGAACAAATAAAATACATACAGAGAGAGACAGAGAGCAAATGTGGCACAAATGTTAATAATGGGTGAATTGTATTACTCGTTAACTTGTCTGTAGATTTGAAATTTTTCAAAATTAAAAGTTGGTGGAGGAAAAAATATTTACCAATTATATTTAAACATGGAAATCTCTCAATAAGAAAATTAAGTGCTCCTAAGGTAGCAGAAGCCCCGTGCGGGGCTGTGCCCTGACCGTGGGTTCTCGTGCCCGTGCAGACCTTCGTGCCTGCTGAGCCAGTGAGTCACCCTTTCGGTGGTTCAGGTGCCAGTTTCTGTCTCCCCTGCCTGCCAGACAGGAATCCTTGTGAGGGTGGGGCAGGGCCAGGCCTTCTCTAGGTCCCTGCCAGGCCATGCTCTGTGCTGAGCACAGAGAGGAGCTCCCTGAGGGCTGGTGCCGCCTGATGAACAACACTCCTCCCTCTGCCCCTTTTTCCCGACCTCCATCTCCATGCCCACATCTGGGCTCCCACTAATGCCAAGCCTTCCTCGCAGTCATGTCTTGCAGCACCCACTGTTCCTCTCTGAGTCTTCCCAGGCCCCTTTTACCTGGTCTTCCGGCACGATCCATGTTGGCCTTTGGGGGACGTCTTCATGGTGGGTTGAGACTGGGCCCCGCTCCACAGAGCACCCGTGAAAAACGACCAGCCCACCATTTTTAGATGAAAACACACTTGACTCCACGATGGGGCAGAATACAAAGTTTGCGTAAATCTTTTTTTTTTTTTTTTTTTTTTTTTTTTTTTTTTTTTTTTTTTTGAGACAGCCTTACTCTGTCTCCCCAGCTGAAGTGCAGTGGTGCGATCTCAGCTCACTGCAGCCTTCACTTCCAGGGTTCCAGCGATTCTCCTGTCTCAGCCTCCCGAGTAGCTGGGATTACAGGAGCGCGCCACCACGCCCACTACATTTTGTATTTTTAGTAGCGACGGGGTTTCACCATGTTGGTCAGGCTGGTCTCGAACTCCTGACCTTGTGATCTGCCTGCCTTGACCTCCCAAAGTGCCGGGATTACAGGCGTGGGTCACCGTGCCCGGCAGTTTGCATGAAATCTTAAAGCTAAGCTGTGGCACTTGAAAGACACACCCTGTTTGTGGAGGGCCAGTCTGCCAGTTAACAGTATGGCTCTCGGGATCAGGAGAGGACAAAAGCTGGGCCCTGCCTGCCTGGTGGGGTGTTTGGGAGAGTCAGGTGAGATGGCAGAGGGCAGCACTTGGAAAAGTGAATCAGATGCCAACGGCCTGTCTGGAGCAAGCCCCTTGGGTTTATAGCTGCCCTCACATGGAGGGAACCTGGAAGGGAGAGAAGTTACGCCCCTTGAGGTGTGGCCGGGCTCCTAAACCCCCAGCCTAAGAGCCCCGAGCCCAAGCTCCCCACACACTGCAGCCTCCAGGCAGCTGGGCCTCACCGGTGTTGGGGAGTGTCCCCGCTCTGCCTCCATTCCTCTCTTAAAACTTTCTTTTCCTCCCCCTGCCCCTGGTTGCTCTCACGCCCCCACCTCCCCGCCAAGGCAGGAGCCCGGCCCTCCAATGCCTGGTCTCAGCCACGCCCCCGACGTGTCCCCCTCAGGTGGTGTGTGCCAGGTGCTCTGACTACCGGGCCGAGCTGAAATACAACGACAACAGGCCCAGCCGAGTGTGCTTCCACTGCTACACCTTCCTCACCGGAAACGTGCTCCCAGACGCCAGGGAGGACAAGAGGCGGGGCATCCTGGAGGTGAGGGCCACTGTCCCCACGCTCACCATCCGTCCTCCCCTCCATTCAGGGAATGTGTGCTCAGCAACCGCCCTGGGCTGGCACTGTCCAATGCCGAGGGGCACGCCAGCCGTGGTCACACCCTCCCTCCTTTCCCTTCTCCTCTCTCTGCCCACAGACCCCAGGCTCCTCCCCACGGCCCAGGAGCCTGTCACCAGAAGGAGGCACCCTCTGGCCGCAGGCTGTCATCTACACTCTTCTGCCCTTCCTCTGTGTCTGTCCCCACCCAACAGCATGGCCCCTCTGGACAGCTCCTGTTCATGTCACCATGCCCCGCCTCAACAGTCCCAGGGTGATGAGAGCTGGTGTCACTGATTCCATTTTACAGATGGGAACACTGAGGCTCCAGGTCAGACAGATTGGAGAGACTCCACTCTAACTGGAAGGGACTCCAGGGGCCACTCAGTCTTATCTCATGAAGGCCCAGGGCTGGAGAAGTGACTTGCCCAAGATCACAAGCAAGTTAGGAGCCAGCCCTCCAACCTCAGCCACACATGTTCTTTCAGTCGCCCTGGGGGCATCACTGAGCCAAACTTGCCCTCGACAGGTGCTCCCCTATGGGGGTACAACTGTGCTCAGCTAAGCACCACAAATACAATGCCAACCAGCCCAGCATCGGTTACCACCTTCCACTGCCCCTCCCTCATGAAGGCCAAGTTGACATCCCACTGTCCCTAGGAGGCAGGAGAGGTTCCCAGCTTATGCCAGCTGAGATTCACTCCCAAGTTCAAGTTGGCCTCTTTTGGCCAGGCATGGTGGCTTATACCTGTAATCCCAGCACTTTGGGAGGCCAAGGTGGATGGATCACCTGTGGTCAGGAGTTGGAGACCAGCCTGGCCAACATGGTGAAACTCCGTCTCTATTAAAAATACAAAAAAAACCCCTCAGCCAGGCATGGTGGTGCATGCCTGTAATCCCAGGTACTTGGGAGGCCGAGGCAGGAGAATCACTTGAACCCAGGAAGTGGAGGTTGCAGTGAGCCAGGATTCCACCATTGCACTCCAGCCTGAGCAACCACAGTGAGATTCTGTCTCAAAAAAAAAAAGTTGGCCTCTTTTCATGGATGTCTACCCGCTTTCCAATCCTCCACATCCTTCCAGGCCCAGTCACTGCCCAGGACCTCCCTGACCACTAGGCAACACAGCCTGCCCCTGGAGATGCTCAGCCCCTTCTCAGGGCCCAATTCTGTTCCCTGGAGCAGCTCCGGGAACCCTCCCGGCACCTGTCCGCTGTGGGCACACACGAGACAGGTCAGGCAGGCTGGGGTTTGGCTGCAGCTCTGCCACTGGCCGGCCAGCTGTGCAACCACAGGCACTTGACGGGACCTCTCTGAGCCTCAGGGACAAAGAACCCCCCCCCACCATGTGGTACTGCCGTAAGGACTGGAGATAATAATTGCCGAGCCCCTAGACCAACATCTGACACTGCGGCTGCTCTGCTCCCTGACAGTCCCTCCTTCCGGTTTTAGAAAGGGTCCTCGGCCGCGCCCGACCAGAGCCTGATGTGCAGCTTCCTGCAGCTCGCTGGGGACAAGTGGGGCAAGAGCGGCCCCCGGGGCTGGTGTGTGATCCCTCGGGATGACCCCCTGGTGCTCTATGTCTACGCTGCCCCACAGGTAAGGCCACCACCTGCCCCCCAGGCCCCGGCCTTCCCACAGTGTGTGTGTGAAGGGGGTCAGGGTGAATATTGCTAGCTCCCTATGTCAGATAGGGAAACTGAGGCCCAACAAGGATGTGGTATCCTGGAGGCCCAGGGTTAGTAGGTTTCAGAACTGGGCCCTGATTCCAGGTCACCACTGCTTTGTCCTCGGGAGTAGCCAGTTCTCTCCTCTTCCTTCCCCCTGCATGGGGGTTTGGGGTGTGAGCTGCGCGTGCGGGGCTGTTGCCTTCAGGAAGGCTATCTAGGGCGGTAGGACTGATGGGGACAGTGACCCACTGCTCTCTCCTCCCCCGCAGGACATGCGCGCTCACACCTCCATCCCCCTGCTGGGCTACCAGGTGACCGCTGGGCCCCAGGGGGACCCTCGGGTCTTCCAGCTACAGCAGTCAGGCCAGCTCTACACCTTCAAGGCCGAGACGGAGGAGCTGAAGGGCCGCTGGGTGAAGGCCATGGAGCGGGCGGCCAGCGGCTGGAGCCCCAGCTGGCCCAACGACACAGACCTGTCCGACTGAGCCACTTCCAGCCGCTCTTCTGCCCACCTCTCCCCACCCTGCACCCAGCTCCTGCCACAGACTGACCCTGTGGCCTCAGTGACCCACTGTCCCAGGCGGTGCTTTCACAGAATTGATTCAGCCATCTGCGCCCAGTCCATGTGTCCCAGTCTGCAATTCAGAAAATATGGGTCCATTCCTTTCTACAAAGGGGACAAACAAGTGTCTCAGTTTGCCTTGTGGGGCGGGGGCTCCTGGGTCATGGGACTCCCAGGTGACCCCGGCTGTTGGTCACCCTAGTGTGGTTCTCAGCCAAGGCTGCTCATTGTGTCTTCCGGGGAGCTTTTAAAGAGTACTGGTGAAAAGCACATAGTGAATTGATTGGTCTGAGATGGGGGAGATCCAGATTCTTTTTTTTTTTTTTTT